AATGTTCAGTCATGGAATAGAAATTTGACATTAATAATTTTGAAATATCTTCATCATTTTTAAATATTGCAGTATTACCATCATACTACCCAACCCTAATGATGACGGTTTTTCAAAATCATCTCTCAAAATTTCTGTTCCATATTTATCTATTGAAAGACCAAATAATCACATTCTTGCCATTCACATTTTGGAGGGATTCACATTTTCAGGCAAATTTTTGCAAGGTTTTTCCTTCATTTTTTTTTGTGTACACTTGTGTCAATTATTTAGAATTGAACCTGTAATTTGTCAGCTGTCAGATACTGCTGGAATTTGGTTAATATTAAGCCATTCACAATGTCAGTATTAGCTGAGAAGCTGCGAAGCCTCTCAGTTTGTAGCCTGAGAACACAGCGTCACTTGTAGCAGCTGGGCTGAGCAAGGGGCGACATAAGCGGTAGCTGGATAGTCTGCATGCCATGCTAATAGCTAACGGCTAAACCCAAAAGACTGTCATTTTCTTCCCTTAAACTCATCAGTTCATTATATTCTGATGTCTTTATACAACAAACTGGACTAACTTAACTCAGGTTGCAACTCACCATATTGGAGATGAGGGAATTAGCTTGTTTTGCAGTTTGTTTGTTGCATTATCTGCGTTTATTTTTAACACTGGTATGACAGTATTCACAAATCTAATCCCTTAAAATTAATTTATGTGTATATAAATATCGCTGCTGTCTGTTTTTTCTTCTCCTGTAAAGTTATCGTTTTGGAGATATGAGGTTTTCTTCCAACAACAGCGATATATATAAATATATACATGAGACGCAATATCACCTGTCCCAACATTCTCTGTTGTTCTTTCAAAATTATTGTTCCAAATCATACATGCCTGAGTTTAGATACACATATAATCAAATAACTGCTTTTGTCTCTAGTGGTACTGTGGTGAAGGTTCTAACTATGGTAACTAACATGGTAACTTACTGTAGTAAGTGATGTTACCATGATCTCCCAATTTTCAAGTCAAGCTAAAGCATCATCTCCATCACCATTGGTGACCTCGGCCCCACTGTCAGCTGGGTCTTCTACTCTAAGCCAAAGATTGTCTCCTTTAGTTTGATCTATAGAGAATCAATTTACACGCCTGTGGAGCAGGACAAGGTGACTCACGCTCACACACTCAACTGACTCACACTCTGACTTCTGTTCATCATCTTCCAAAAAGACTGATTCAATAATAAGCATTAACAATTTGATATATAGTCTATATATTGTTGCTGTCCAAAAAAAATAATTATCTCCATATTTCTCTGTGCACAGCTGCCTTTTACATTGTGTAGAAAATCATGAATGGACAAATAGAAATACTACAAAATTGCTTGAATGTGAAGAACAGTTTTTGCCATCTCCTGTAAAGTTGCCATTGTAGATGCCAATTGGTTCCCTTCATTGATAGCCAAGTTAATCAAAGAGAAAATAAAATCTGATTCAGCATTCCTACACAGCATTCCTGCAGAATTCGTCTCATGGGACAATATATATGATAGAGCATATCATAAAAACAAATCATGTTACTATTCATAGCTATAATATTGCAACCTGATGCCACAGTGCTCTGGAAGTCCCAAGCCAGCTAATTAACATATATCTGATTGGAGCTGAAAGAACCCTCCCTGGAGCTTTTTCATTACAGATGGCAGTGAATGCTAGGTGTTCATTTTGTGCTTTAGGTTCTGACTTGCTGTAACATACATAAAGAGTCCATTCAACCATTCAGGGTCAGGTGAAAGCCAGGAACCCTGGTGTCCACTCACTCATTTTCAACTCCTTTTGCAGGTATGCTTCCCAAGGACACATTTTTTAAGAAAGATTTTATGCTAAGAACACAAAGGTCATGACTACTGAGAAAACAAAAATGCATAAAATGGCAGTCAAAATCAGAAGAGTTATGGCTATATCATGGATTCATTTTAACCACTGTTTTTCCAGTACACATTGAGACAAAATTAAGATAAGATTATTAATATTAAAACTTGGTCCTCCTCCATGACAGCTCCACAGCTGTAAAGACATATGCTGCTTCTTTTTATGATTGTAATCAAAATTATTAGAAATTTTCAGCCGTTTCCTTTTTTGTCTATATACAGTCATTGTAGTTGTATCTCTAGGTTTCACTCCAAGGAAGTCAACTACCACTTGACCATGAAGAACCTGTCATCTATGCGGAAGTGACTGCCCATAGAAACAGCAGCTTTTATTTGAAGAAAGATGTTTTAAGAAAGCTTTTATGCTAAGAGTACAAAGGCCGTGACTACCTGAGAGCAAACAAAAATGCATAAAATGGCAGTCAAAATCTGCATTAAAAACAGCCATATATATTCTCAGTAATGGCTCTCTGGCCATTATTGGACTACATGAATGACATTATGCAAGAACATTTTTCTTTCATTTTCTTCCTGTTTTTATATGATATCTCAGAAGTGGTTTTATATTCAAAGGAGCACTACAGAATTGCATTGTGCGAACGCAAACTTCAACAGAACCTCTATAAAATACACTACAACCAACCATTTGTATACAGTTTGTCAATCTTGTTAATCTGCATGTAACTAAGTATTTTGTACGTGAGACATAAGCGCTTTTTTCTTCTGACGAAACTCAAAGGCCAGAGTTGAACTGTGATGGCTCTTTTTAGGTACGAACACTATCACAGTCAAGGATACAGCACAAAGGATAATAGATGAAATCAAGTATGAGAGTTCAGCACTGCAGGGACTTACCAAGTACCTCATTCATAGCTGTCCTGCTGTGAATGTAATTAGGCATAACTGACAAAAACACATCAGCGTCAAGTGGCCTTCCAGAATGATTTGATTTAACTAAAAATGAGCATAATGTACCAAGCCTACATTTTACAGTGCTAATTAACTGAAAACAAGCAAAATGTCTTTCCTCCTACTAATTGTCCTTTAGATAGATGAGGAAGAAAAGTAAGCACATATTGCACTCAAATTTTATGTTTTGTTGACTATAAAACACTGAGGTAGTAAATCATTTCTCTGTCTCTGGGAAATTGTTGACTAATACTGGAGTTTTAGCATGGTCCTGTTTATAGTTTCATTATTCTATATTGGATTTCAGTTAACACTTTTGTCCTAGTTCTTTTGTGTTTGTTGTACTGAATTGCAACAAGTTTGAGGTACTTAGCTCTGTAGCTTTTAGTTTTAACTATAAATATTTTTTCCTCTGGTTGTCCATTATATTAAAAAAAACAACAGGACACAGAATAACTCATGCCATTTACTCTTTGCCTATTCAGGCCTGAATGATTGCTCTTTACGCAGTGATAACACAAAATGGCTAAATCGAATGCTGCTGCTTTTAGACAAGTATGTTCATGCAATCAGCAGAACATGCCTCTGTTTTGTTTTTGAATCATGGACGGACATGATTATGTACAATTCGTCATTTCGTTTGATCAAGCATTGCACTTTGTTCAGTTAAAAACAGTAATGAGAAATCTTTTAAGACAGAATGCAATAAGACTTTTCTGACTTGTTGAATAAGTCAGAGGTTACTAATATAGGAATCTATGCAGTTCCCGTCACGTTCTTTTATAAACATACATTTTGAAAAATGTAACGAAATGTCTTATTCTGTCTCTGTTATCTGTCTTTGTGCACCTACAGTCATAAAGTGTGATGTTTGATTGGGAGCATGCTTGTGTACCTATGTTTGGTAAGACATTGAGTATGTTTAAAAGCACTCATCTTTCATTAAAGCATCCTACATCAAATCATGTCTGCGTTAACCACCATAGTTCTGTTTTTCAGAATAAAATGAGCCTGTGTTAGATTGGATCGCTTGTGATGAGGGTTCAAGTGGATCCTTTTCTAACAATCTAATCCTGATATCTACATTAAGTTTCCCTAAAATTAGACCTACCTATGTCCATCAACCAGAATGTGGCTGGAAACATGTACATAGGCCTACTTACTCTCCTCTCCCATCTCCCCTCCTCCTGTACTGATCACTTCACCCACTGCTGTTTGCTGATTGCTCTGATTTCATTCTTCCTTCAGCACCTTTTTATGCGATGCACACAGCTTGGGACTGGCTTCAGCTCTGCCGTTTAGCATCACTCTCTGTGATGGCAGCGCTGCCACTGCAAACGAATCAGGGATTTGACTCAGGCTCTTTCTGCCACAGTACTGCCAGTGGTGCAGTTGCTTGTAATGATCTCTTTCAGTGGGTGGGGGGCAATCAGACCTTGGCAGACCTGAGAATTCCCCCACATGCCTGATTTGATATGCTTTGACTCCCAATCTGGGTCCTGGACAATTTGGTAAATTCTCTGGTTATACACACCTAATAAACCTGCTTATTAACTGATGTGCTGTGTTTCTGAGCAGGGAAACGATCAAACTGCTGCATTAAGGCCTAGTTTGGACACCCCTGCTACTATTAGTAAAAGTATTAGTGAATACTGTTTTGTGGCTACTGTAGACAAATAAACAGCTTGAACAAATAATTAATCAATCAGTCAAGAGCTAGCTTAAAGCTCTTATGGAAAATGAATAAGTCAGTAGAAATTAAATAGATATCTCAAACAGTTTGGAAAATAAATGAATAAATAGAAAAATAAAAGTTGTATAAATTGCTTCAAGCACTATAATTTATTATTTAAAAAATTTATTTAATGGTATTTTTTAAACTTTACCCACAAGAACTTGGGTTTTCTAATGAGCCTCATAATTATAATAAGTATTTTTTTCAATACATTCATTAACAGAAAATAACCTTTTTTCCCCCATGCACAGTTTATTGCTGTTATTTGACATGGCGGGTGATATGTATAGTTTAAAAAAGAAAAAGAAAAACAAAGAACATCATGTTGAATATACAACCCTATGCTTTGTGCAGGGGGGGGTGGAGACACTACTGGCCAATAGTAGCACACGGGGCAGGGCTTGTTCCTCTCTGAGTGCGTGGCGGACTGCATCAGCAGAGCAGTGGTTGAGACAGGCAGCAGCATGAGATCCATCAGCGTGTGGATACTAACATCTTTCACCACAGTGAGTACTGACACTGAAACAGGTCTATCTCTGTAATCCTTCCTCTGCCTTTTTTCCTTGTCTTACTTGCTTTTCTTCCTTTTTTGCAAGTTATAAACATAAACACAGTTAGAGAGTAACTAGTTTAATTTACTCAGTTACAGAGACTTAAATATAATCTTGATGTTTTTGTACTTTCTGAGCATCTTTATCATTTTATCATTGTCTTTTACTAATAAGTATGCTAGTGGGGAAATAAATCTACTTCCATTCCACATATCCTTCCTCATGTGTTCAGTATAAATACTGCTTTGCTTTGCTCAGACCTCTCTTACTTTTATCATTTTATTTTAGACCAAAAAAAAAAAGCATTCCAAAAAGAGCCTAACAAACTTCAGTTTTTATGCAGATAATTCACGTTGTACTGTTTTTTTTCTTCTACTGGAGTCATTATTAGTTTTAAAATTATTATTCCACTGAAGTACAATAACATTACTTACTGGAGTGTGGTACACACCTCTGTGTATATGCACCAACTTCATTTAGTGCGCCTCCTTGTATATACGCTCTTTGTCCATTTTATCAGCTCCACTAATCATATAGGTGCACTTTGTAGTTGTTCAGTTATGGACTGTAGTCCGTCTGTTTCTCTGCATATTTTGATAGCCCCTTTTTAACCTGGGCGGATTTTATTTGTGTGGTGGATCATTCTCAGCTCTGCAGTGACACTGACGTGGTGGTGACATGTTATTGTGTTTTGTGCTGGTACGAGTGGATCAGACACAGCAGTGCTGCTGGAGTCTTAACACTGTGTCCACTCACTGTCCACTCTATTAGACTCTCCTACCTTGTTGGTCCACCTTGTCGATGTAAAGTCAGAGACAGCAGCTCCTCTGTTGTTGATTGTGTTGGTCATCCTCTAGTCCTTCATCAGTGGTCACAGGACGCTGTTGGATGGATATTTTTGGTTGGTGGTCTATTCTCAGTCCATCAGTGACACTGAGGTGTTTAAAAACTCCAGCAGCACTGCTGTGTCTGATCCACTCATACCAGCACAACACACACCACCACTACATCAGAGTCACTGTATAGCTCAGAATGATCCACCACCCAAATAATACCTGCTCTGTGGTGGTCCTGTGGGGGTCCTGAACGTTGAAGAAAAAAGGGGTAATGAAGTGGCCAATCAGTGTATAGTACTGTGCAAAAGTCTTAGACAGCTAAGAAAATTGTTTATAACTTCACCAGTAAGTGCATTTTTGGCAGTACAACCTCTATACAACATTAGAATAGATGCAAATAAATGATAAATTAAATATGTTTAATTTATAAAAAATTTCCCACACATACAATTACAACAAATTGTTTGTTTATTATTTGAATTCATTCAGATATTAGTGTTTTTGAACAAATAAATGCTCACAACCTAGATAAATAGCTTTCTGTATCATTCTCTCTAAAGACTTTTGCACAGTACTGTACATAGAATTTTGATGACATTGTGTTTATCAGCTAATCTGTGCACATTAGAAAAGCAAAATAAGTCAATTTAAGACTAATTAAAATGTCTAATTACCACACACTAAAGATAGTTATTATTGCAGTGATTTTTAATATAGTGTGTTATCACAACTGTCTGGGAAATCCAAGCCTACCCAACTGGGACAAGCCAATTTGTGGTCTAGCCTGCTAATTAAAATCCACTGCATGCATTCATTTGAAGTGGGCAAAGGGTTGCTAAACTAATTGTTTTAACTCAAGCATGCCAGCATCTTTTTTTTGCCTGACTGAGCTGCCACACGGTTACTGTATTTTCACCTCCATCTTCTCTGTGTTGATTTCACTTTCCATTAAGATAATGATAAATAACAGCATGAAAGCTTTATTTTGAATTAATGCCGTCATTGGAATGCATTAGTTGGTCTGGTCAATAAGGTGTGATGAACAATGACCATGGAGCGTGTGGTGGCCCTGGCTCATAAGGCCGTCATTTTAGGGAGGATTCTTACACATATGTGCTCAAGGCCATGCTTTGCTACTCAAACCACTGCCTTTTGTGCTTCAGAGCTCATTTATCAGTCTTAAAGGCAAAGTAACAAGAACAGCCTGTTTAATTCTAAAGTATACAGAGGTTGGGAAATGGTCATGTTTTGGGTTCATAAAACCACACAAACATCATAAGTGGATTTCAGCCAGGAAAAAAATACTAAATCCAAGAGATATGTAAGATATTGGCCTTTCAAGTTATCATAAATATGTACAATTATGTGTGTAAAATAGCATAAATAACAACAGAAAGATGTCCAGGGGCCCAGTATCCACAGGTCCCTCTGTTCTACAGGCCCCAGTGTGAGTTCCCCAGCTGCAATGCTGGTAGTCACTGTATGCCACTGACTCTGTCTGACTATCTGTCTGTCTGTCTAATGTAGTCTGTACGTAATTGACACAGTTTTTGTTCTTTTTTCTCTGAAATTGACACAATGACTATGAAGTTAAAGTGCGGAATGACAGCTTTAATTTACTTTCATATTGGATGAACCATGTAAAAATGACAGCCCATCTACACAGTTTCAGGGGACAAAAAGGAATGGGGCAAATTAACATTATCAGATAAAAATGTCATGTTTTGTGCTTGACAGATCTTTTGTGATTGTTGACTGCCTGAACTTTCTGATCTCAGAGCTCAGATGATGAGTATCTTCCCTGGTGATACTCTGCCAGGCCTGTAATGAAGCTATTTTCAGTTCCTGTCTTTTTCAGGAGCCTTATTACCTTCAGTCCTCTCTTCAGTAAGTGAAATGTTGGGGTTCAGTCTGGGTGATTGACTTGGCTAGTCAAGCACATTTCACATTTTGGCCCTCAAAACCTCTTCCTTTAGCTGTGTCTTTGGGATGGTTCTTATACTGAAAGTTGTCCGCTGAGTTTTGAGGCATTTGATTGGATCTGGACGATTCCTACTGTTCCCTTCACAATTCATCCTGCTGCTCCTGCTGGCTGTCACGTTATCAATAAAGACAAGTGATTTAGTTCCACTGGCAGAAACAGATGCATGTGCCACAGTTTTTCACAGATGAGGTGGTGATAGTTGCTCTATTTCTCCACATTTTCATCATTCCATCGTTCTGGTGCAGATTCATCTCACTTCATCTCTCCATAAGGCTTTTTTCAGAACTCTACAGACTTTTACAGGTACTTTTTAGCAGCCTGGCATTTCTGTTCTTGAAAAGCGCATGTGGTTTGCATCTGCTTATAAGGTCATGTTGGTCATTTCCACTCTGTTTTTGACACCTTTTTTCTTCCATCCTGCACTACTTTCTGGGTCTGTTCATTTACTACTGGAGTGTTTGAGGGTTTTGAGGGTTTAAGGTTGTGTGTCCAGTGCATTTAGTTTTTTTTCCTTTCTTTTTTTCAGGGTCAAGATGGCCTGCTTTACTCACATTGATACTCATTTGGCCCTTGTTTTGAGAGTAGTGGCATAGCCAGAATTTCATTTCAGAGGGGGCTGGTTACAGGTTGAGGGGGCAGGTAGCAGACATTAAGGCCCAGAATCGTTGCTATAGTGAGAATAATGAATGCCAAGTAGTCAACTTCATTATAGCCAAGTCATTAAAAAAATTACCACCCATTACATTAATCAGAGGGGAAAAAACATTTTTTTGAAGATTAAACATAACACATGGTTGCATACCTCACATTTAACTAGCTAATGTTAGTTACTGTAACAACTGACAGGATACCACAGCGGGTAAAAGCCAATTAACCAAAGTCCTACCTTTTACAGCAATAAGCCTAGATGTCTAGGTGTGGGTGATGATGGCACTGTTCGCATTGCTTTTTTACAGTATTGAACATTGTTTTTTTTAACCTGGTCAACTACGACTGCTCATCTGAAATTCTACAGCTGATAGCTGTTTTGTTAACTTTGGTAGCATGAACTAATGATAAAGTGACTCACAGCTAGCTAAGATCCAGCTGGCCAGTTATTTTTAGCGGCTTTAAATGTTCAGGCTACAACATTGTACATGATTTTATTTCAAATCCAGTGATTTGTGTAAATCACAAATTATTAATTATGTTTAGCTTTCTGAGTGTTTAATCGATACTAATGAGCATATAAGCACAGAAGTGCAGATTTGTATCTGTGTATCTGAACAAAGTAACAGTAAAGCCTGTATCGATTAGAGAAGAATTTTCCAGCCTATGCGTGTAATCAAATGCAAAGAAATGTATTGCATTCTAAGTATGCTTGAGAGAGGGTAATGTTCTGGCCTGGTTTCAGAATATATAACCATCCCTGGGGTAGTGATCATGCCTTTCCTTGGCTCATCTGTTACTTTCTGTCTTCTTAACAGCAAAATGATTTAGCCTGACAATGTAATCTACCTCATGATGACACTGTGGAACTTAGAATGATTGCCTCCGTCTACAGCTCACACACATAAACCAGATACATCTGTCCTCAATTACATCGTATGTCATATTATCCAGTTTAAACTAGTGACCTATACAAAGAACTGTTTGGAATTTTAATGTGCCGAGCTGTCAGCATAATAAAATGCAGGTGGTACATCACAAAAGCTTTTAGGGCCTAATCATCCATGCCTGTTACCTTATGAAGTGCAGTTAGTCCAAATAACAAGATGTAACAAAAGGTTTAAAAAGAACGTAGCCTGTAGGAAGCTGTAAATTATTAAGAATTTTCCTGTCAAAACAGCCTATAAGAACAAGTTAATAATTTTTCAGGAGATATTTCCAAGGAAATTAGATATGAGATAATCCACTTGCATAAGGAAGGGTAAAGTCAAAGGAAAATAAGTGAAAGTCCAATGAAGTTCTGTCTGAAATTGACTGGCTCATCATCACCCAAGGTGCAGAATAAAAGCTGATAGGATAACACTGGTTAAATTACAGTGTAGTGACAATAATAGTGTTATTAGATCACTGACAAATAAAACTAAATAATTTCTAGTACAAAGTTAAGTGTAAATTCTTACTTTTTTGACACTTAATTGTTTATGCAG